CCTGGGGCTCTCTGGTCAGCCAACCATCTGTGAGCCCCAGGACAGCGAAACTGCCGCGAAGCACATTTCAATGCAGATTATGAAATCCTACAATAGCCACACAAATATCAGACATCTTTGGGCTTTGATGTAATTTTTCAAATTGCAAACTTTTCAATGTTACTTAAAGTGTCAATAAATTTGAAATATAATCCAGATTATTTTCCTTTTTCAACATTTTTCCCCACTTCATAACATGATAAGCAAGATTTGCATCTCTTTTGCTTTCCCTCACTCAAGAATTTCTCAATGTATTACACAAACACTGAAAGGCACCATGCAGACATAAGTGGACCAGGAATAAAATGAGTACCAATCAGTTCCTATGGGCCGTTTCTCTCAGGTTCTCGCTCCTCACTACAGAGTAAGCTAACAGTCTTGCCCACTGTTTGCACCTTGGCAGGTTCTGGGCATCACTGCATTAAATAGCTTAAACAGTAAACCCCCTGAGTTCAGAGACAGCCCTACTTACCTGCAGGCCTGTGGCCACAGCTTCAGCACTTTGCCATTCTCACGTGCGCTTTTCTGAAATCACGCCAACCTTAACAAAGCTATAAGCACTGCTAGCATGGATGTCAAGAAGAGGTAAATGTCAAATCTAAATCAAGAAATGACCAGCTGTTTTATGCAATTAGGAACTAGGGAAGTGGCTCAGTAGGCAAAGTGCTTGTTGTACAAGTGTGAGGAAGGTCCTAAGTGAGAACCCCAGAACCCAGGTATGTCTGGCATGTAGCACACACATGTAAACCAGCGTTCCTGAGGGGAGCTGAGAGGTGGGATAGAGTCCGGGAAGACCGCAGGCTAGCAAGCCTTATGTGTGAACAGTGAACAATTAAGAGACCCAAAGCTCCTCATCTCCACATGCACACATGACATGGGCATGCTCCCATTTGCAATAAACACATAACATATACACAAAAAGATTAAAATATGCAACTACAAACAGTTAAGGCCTCAGTGTATCCTAGAACTCCAAACTGTCCTGCCTTCAGAACATACTCCTAAACAAACTGTGTTTACATTAAATATATGCACCTTGCCTTACAAAAGAGCTTCATAAGATGAATTTCATTATGTATTCTCAGAACTTCATTTGATTTACATATATATATATATATATATATATATATATATTGTTTTGAAACCATGTACAAATAATTAGATTCTGAGCTCTAACAATGTGTTTACATGTGCCTACTAGGACTTTATTTTATTATTTATTTATTTAGATACAGGGTCTTTCTGTGCAACCCTGGTTGTTCTAGAACTTGCTATGTTGACCAACCTGGCCTTGAACACAAGAGTTCTGGCCACTTTTGACTCCCAAGTGCTGAGATTCAAGGCACGTGCCATCATACCTGGATAATTACTAGAATCAAAAAAAATATTTATTTTCGGCCGTGTATGTGAGATCAGAGGACAACCCGCTGGCATCATTTATTTCCATCTACCGTGGGCTCTTGGATGGAACGCCCACTGTCAGACTTGGCAATGGCAAGCCTCTTTTTCTGCGAACCCATGTCACAGCTCTATTATTCTGTTTTATTCTCCCTCCCTTTATGATTACTGTGGCAGGGTCCCAGAGGGCAGCTGTGTTCTCTACTTCTGTTTTTACAAGGGTGCTGGGGATCAATCTCAGTTCTTTGGTGTGCACAGCAAGGGCCTTTCCCTGCTGAGCTATCCTGCCAGCTTATGGGTTATCTGAATTAGAATACTGTTGAGTCCCAGAAGTTTTTCTAGCATAAATTACGTCTGTAGAGGACTGCACAGGATGTGTGCCCTCAGATGCTAATCATTACTCTGGCAGTGCAATTCCATGAATTTTTTTTCTCTTTTCCCCTTACTGAACTGCTAAACTAGATAGATTTGTCTATGTAACTCTTATTACCTAGCCTGTTACTAATCTAACACCATGTCTAGGTTTGTTTGTTTGCTTTGTGACTGGAGCCTGTCAATCTTATCATTAAATTCATTGTTGTCTTCAAAACATGCTGAGAAGCTAGAACTTGGTTAACACAAATGCTCATTCCTATTTTTTGTTAATTTACCCAGAGATGCTAAAAGTCACTGACCAGCATCATCACTTTCCTTATTTTGCACAAGCTGTCCAACGTTTCATATGGAGTCACCAGACGCATTCCTGCTCACAATTGGTGAATTGGGATAATGGATGGCATTCTTCTTCTTAATTTGTAAAATGTCCTCACCATGGGCTCTCAGTTCTCTCAGCTCCCAGGAGAGGCTTCATTAGCTGTAGCTGTTGACAAATGGGAAAGCCTATTCCAGATACTTGAAAGAGTCACCCTTATCCTTCTGCTGCTCTAGAACCACTTCTGGTGCCAAAATCTGCAGTAGTCAGGGTTCTCCACAGTTACAGAACTTATAGAAGGAATCTCTCTCTCTCTCTCTCTCTCTCTCTCTCTCTCTCTCTCTCTCCACACACACACACAAACACAAATACTCTCTCTTACCCCCACACCCCCACAATAAAGATATGTATAATGTATGGGAATTTATTAGAATGATTTATATGCTGTAGTTCAGCTAATCCAAAAAATTGGTGGCTATGAATGGAAATCCAAGAATCCGCATGGCTGGATGTCTCACCTTGTCTTTATTATATCCGAGAATCCTGAAGAAGTAGGGCCTAATGCCAGTGAAGGAATGAACTTGCTAACAAGGCCAGAGAGCAGGAAGGCAAAGAAGAAAATTTTACTTTGTCTGTGCCCTTTTGTAGGCTTCCAGAGGAAAGTGTGGCCCAGATTAGATCAGAATTAAAGATCTGAATTAAAAGTGTGTCTTCTCTTATCTCAAGCGTCAAATAAAGCAGAAATCCCTCACATTTATGCCTTCCATTTTTAGGTTTTAGTTAATGCCAGATGTAGTCTAGTTCAGAACCAAGAATAAACATCATCATTCAATAAGACAATTCACACCAGGAACATTACTACTCTTTTCCCAAATGGGACCGCTCATGTGGAGTCCAGTGACAATGGGGAGAGGAATCCAGCTCCTGGCCCAATTGTTCCAGGAAATGTCCTTTGAGCTCCTCAAGGAGAGGAGCTGGAGGCCCAGGCTCGACCTGCCCTGTTCTTCAAAGTCATCCTTGGACACACTGTGTGCAACCCTAGAATTGCAGGAGTTTTAAGGAAGGGGAGAATCACAAGTTACAGCTGC